TCTGAGGGGTAGGTAGAATCATTCCAGCAGTTGTTGAAGAATCTTAAGATGGTATTTTTCATTTCAGAACTACAGTGGCGAAGCATCTGGTTATGGATAGCGTCTTCTCCCGGTGAACATGACTTGGTGTTACGGATTGCTGCCTCCAATTCTTCTACAGTAAAAGGTACGTTACAGTTCTGTATATCATCTGTGTTAAAGTCAATTAATACTGCTTCTTTTTCAGGTTTGGTATCTAGAATGGTGTTGGAATAGTTTGACGAGCTACTGACTTTATAGAACTGATCTGCAATTATGTTAGTTATGTCTTGCAGTTTATTGGTAATTATTCCATCGGATTTGCGCAAAAACACCGGATGACTGCAGCTGTTTTTTCCAGATATAGCTCCGACTTTCTTCCAGACATCATTACTGGTAGTCTCTGGTGTCATGGTTGTTACATAATGTTGCCATGAAATTCTTTGGGCTTCTAGTATTCCCCGACGACACTGAGATCTTCGTTTTTTGAACTCTACAAGATTCTCCAACGTAGGATTTCGACGAAATTTATTTAGAGCTTTTTTCTTTAATGCTATTTTTTCTTTGATTTCAGGTGACCACCACGGGACCATCTTTCGCCTATTGCCAGGTTTAGATTTAGATATGCTGGCGTCAGCGGCGTTTATGATGGAAGAGGTAATGGTTTTAACATTTAGATTGTCTTGATTAGGAGGGACGAGGACTTGTGTGAAGAGTTCCCAATTTGCTAATTGGATTTTATATTTAGCTATCGTTTTTATTGGAAGATTGTGACCCCTGACTGTGATAATAATGGGAAAATGGTCACTATGATGTAGATCATCTTCCACCTCCCATTTCAGGCTAGTATGTATACCTGGTGAACATACTGATACATCGATGGAGTCAAATGTGCCTGATCCTGCATTGAAAAATGTAGCGGAGCCATCATTTAGTAAGCTTAAGTTACTATTTTCAATCAGGTCCAACAATTCTTTCCCTCTAGCATCATTTGATCTGGAGCCCCAAACGGTGTTGTGGGAATTAAAATCCCCAACAAGAATAAATGGTGGTGGAAGCTGCCCAATAATTTTTCGAATTTCTTCGACATCATAATTTGTATTGGGAGTGTAAATATTACAAAGTGTACACGATCTACTAATTTCAAGTTTAACGGCTACAGCCTGGTAAGTTGTATGTAATTTAACTTGTTTATAAGGTGTTCCTTTGTGAATGAGAAATGCTACTCCTCCACAGGCTCTTGCAGGTGGGTAGAAATCCTTTCTAATTAAACTGAAATTTTTAACATTGTACTTTGTTCCAGGTTTTAAATGTGTTTCCTGAATGGCAACACACAATGGTGTGTGCCTTTGTATAAGTAGTTTTAGTTCATTTAAGTTGTTGGATAGTCCTCTACAATTCCATTGTATAATTTTTGTACCCCTTTCGAAGATTTTTGTATAAAAAGACAATCACGGTGAAATAAATAACATAATTAAATAACAAATAACAATGTATATGGGACTATTACAAATAAAATGAACAGATAACTAGAATATCACAGATTGTATCACAAATTAATTGGTACAAGACCCTCTTGGCCCCGAATTGCGGGGTTTCCTGGGTTTGCCTTTCGGCCACCCTTTCCTCTTCCTCTGTTGCTTTGCCTCAGTAACTTTATCATCATCTACGGATGTGACACTCGATTCCCTAGATCGAGACAAAGCGGGAGACGTCTTACGTTTAGACCCCCGCGTCTCTGCGTCCATACCCTCTACCTCTGACGCCGTAGTAGGGTCCGAGAAATTAACGCTGTTCCCGGGAATTGATATGGGAACTTCTACAACAGTTGGGGGAGGTTGTACAATTAATCGGTTTGTGGTGAGTATTCTCATTAATGCCTCCATTTCTTCCTTAATTATTTTTCTAATTTCAGGACCGACAGGTTGTACGGGAACTGACGTTGGTACTGAAGCAACCTGTGCAAAAGATGTGCTGGGATTCACTGTCCCAACTTTCTTTTTTGCTTCCGAGTACGACAGCTTTTGTATCACCTTCACCTCCTGTATTTTCATTTCCATCTTGAACACTGGACATGTTTTAGTGACCGCTTTATGCGGCCCTTTGCAGTTTGGACATTCGATGGGTTCTCCGCAGGTAGTTCCTTCGTGTACAGGTTTTCCGCATACGCATCTCTTATCATGCTTACAATTTACAGCAGAATGTCCGAATCTTTGGCAATTAAAACATCTAAGTGGATTTGGTATATACGGACGCACCTGCAAGGGGTAAAACGCCGCTTGGATTGTCCGTGGTAATCTCGGGGTATTGAAGGTAAGTATATGGTTTGCAGTGTCTATAAACACTCCATCCCTCCTTGTCCTAATCCTCCTAACGTCCACTACACCTTGACTACTTAGATTATCTTTTATTTCCTCAATAGAGCAATTCAAAAGATCGCGACAGAAAACCACTCCCTTTGACGAGTTAAGCATCCCATGGGGTACTACCTCAACTTCAAAATCGCTAAATCGCGTACAGTTACAAAGTAATCTCGACTGCTTCTGTGATACAGTTTCAACCAAAAGATCTCCTTTCATCTTCTTAACGTCTTTTACTTGACCAACAATGCCATACAAAACCTTACTTATCAGGAAGGGACTTACAGATGTAAAATCGCCTTCCTTCCTTTTAATGACCAAGAACCGGGGCACTTCATCCACCTTCTCATTGGCCATGTATTCTCTTCCAGGAGCATTTACATGCGTCGAGGCCTGGTCGCCTGCCAACGACGCCGAGCAGCCGCTTAATATCGACCGGGTGAGGCCTGCCCGCTCCGCCTCGCTCCCTGCCGGCTCTGGGGACAATCCGAACCCCTGAGCAGTAAAATGTGGTCGCCCCGAAGGGCTTAAAAGTCTTTCCATTTTACAAAAAAAGGATTGCATTTTTATGCTACTGCCAGCAACTAATTCGGCCGCTCCTAACATGGAGAACAGACGCCGACCCAGCAGCCGCCCACTATGGAACAGACGCTACTGGGATTTTTACATGAAACAAAAGACAGAGGGACCAGAACCACCAAAAAAACAATACAAACGACCTGGGACAGCTTCGCTTCACCACTGCTGGCAACAGTGGCTACTGAGCCCCCCCACCACGACAAGGTGCTTCCCTTGGGGGGGTATATACAGGATTGTTTGGAAATGAATTTTGAGCATCTGGGGATCAGCCTGGTTTGTTTGGAAACTCATTATGGCATAACTTCAGTTTTGAAATTTTCAAAAAACGACTTAGCAAAAGTGCTCTTAGGAGACGAAGTACACACAAATGAAGAAAAGTTTTATTAGAATGAAACGCGGGCGTGGCATCCGTAGGGCAACCAGGGAAGTTGGCCTAGCGCCAAATTTTGCTAGGCGCCAAAGCGCCAAATTTTGCTAGGCGCCAAAAAGTCCTAAAATTTTTTAAAATAAAAATTATACAAAAGTATTTTACAAAGTTTTTATTTTGCAATTTTAAGTGCACTTGAGTCAGGATTGATCGTAAATAAGTAATATAATAATTGTAAAATAAGTATAGTGAATTTGCTAAAGTTAAAGCTAGAAAAGTAAATTTTAAATAAATATTTAGTCAAACATTTTTTTAAATAAAAAGTATGCAAAATCTGTATTTATATATTTAAGAAGTACATTATTATTTATAATAAAAAATATGCAAAGACCACATTATTATTATTGTTATAATTATTATTAAAAAAGGCGCGTCGGACAAACTTTGCACTAGGCGTAATTTTACCTTGCCACGCTCCTGGAGAAAAAACGTACAAAATTTCAAAGTTCTAAACCTACTTTGATTTTTGTAGTGTTTTTAGCGCATTTTTGCAAATTTATTTTGTAAAAAGGTAGCTTTTAATTTCACTTTGGCGGATGGCTGGCTGTAGCAAATGAAGGTCCGTAAAAAAATGCTTGTAGAAAGACGAGGAACATAAAATGTTGATTAAACAATTAATGACCGACCATGTAGCAAATTTGAAGTAGATAGAAACATTTTGATATGTTATCTAAAATATTCTATGTAGTAAATAAAATTGAGGATTTCATAAGAAATTCAAAAGTAGACCTATTTGACTTAAATTTTACACCATTACTAAGTTTTTCAATCAGAATAACCTTTCTATAATAACATTTGTGTGTGCCTCTCATCCAAAAAACGGTTCAATGGCAGACTTGATTTTTCAAAACTGAAATCATGTCACAAATTACTTTCCTACCAAATAGGGCTAATTCCCAGGAGCGCAAAACTCATATCGAACAGTTTTTGTGAGTAGTGTAAGAATATTTCTTTTTGAATGAGTGAAATAATACTTTTCTACTTTACGATTAGCGTACAACAGATGAATAATCAAAAACTATTTCATTGTTTGAATAATTTATCCCTAATTGAAAACGCATCATTCTATATATTAGAGTATGAGTAGAAAAATACAATCAGTACATTCACAGATATTCTATACTTAAGAACCATCAACTAGAAAGATTATGCAATTATTAACTTACAAATAATTTGTTGATTTCAAGGTCGCTTATTAATTCCTCAAACTTCTCAATCGCTTCAAAACTATTTAAGGGCAGGCATTTGGTAAATATGTCGTATTGTTCAACGGGCTGCTTGTCTACTTTGAAACTCTGCATATTTCTGGCAATATCGTTGACTTGAATTTTTATTTCTGTTACCATTTCTAATATTTTGTGCATCACACTGATTTCTATAAAACAGAATTATTATCAAAATGTTGTGTAATATTTTTGACTTACCATAATTTCCATTACGATTAATGGATTGGGAATTAAATTGGTTTACTGGTACTTCTTGGGACTCGGCATAAGATTCCGCATACTCCTCGACATACTCATCTTCTGCATATTCTCCGTGTGGAACTACCATTGATGGCGAAGTAAATGTATGTATTATGTATGAGGACGTGCCGTTGCATTACGTATAAAAAGCAATGCATATAACTGTTAAAACAGCTAACCGGCATTTCGTATAACTTGTATTACATATAAAAAAATTGCGTATAAAAAAAAGCACCTAACAGGCATTTCGTATAACTTGTATTTTGTCGAACTTGTATTTCGTCGAAATTTAATAGCGTATAATACGAAACCTGTATTACCTACATCTGAATGTGTGAATGTAAGATGGCGCACTATAACCAGAGTGATTACAAAAGTGACAGGTCAATCTGTAGTCTGTACAACATGCATATCCCTCCTAAACTTAAATTCCCCTAAACTCGACACTCGACTAAATCGATAAATTTTGACATAAGAAAAATTATCCGTGAACCTTGATAGTACATATTTTATAAATAATCCACCGAGATGGAACATCATAAATTCAAATGTTAATACTTTTGAATTCGCAAAAAATGTGCTGCAAGAATATTCTTATTGAATCTCATATGTATTCGACCACAATTTTAGTCTATCCTGTGCAAGATATTAATGCTGGCATGTGAATGAATAACAGCATTTAAAGTAAAGAACATAAAAGAAGCTACACAAATGTGGCTTTATCACTTTTACCAAAGCGAATTGGCAATCATGTATCTCGAATATACTTAGCAAGTGATTCTCAAAGTGATATCATCTTTGAAGCAAGGACTATAGAAAGTGAATACACCTAATCCAATTTTAAGTTACATATTTTTCTTTTTTAGATGAATCATTTGAAGGTTTCATATATTCCATGATTAATACTATGACAATAAGGCCTATCAAACAGATTTCTGTTAATATTAATCAGTTAAAAAAAAGGTACTGTGGCAATAAATTTATACAGAATAATCAAACAAAGCAGCAGCTATCAGTGCCCAAGCAGTGCGACACAAAGAGGAATGGTTTAATAACCTCGGGTTTAACAGTGATTTATGAAGCGGGAGACTATAATACAAGTGAAAATAATGTAAAACAATAGGCATATTACAATTTATTAAATAAAATTTGTAGTCTAAATCAGAAATTACTCTGGTAACAATTTGCACTGTGTGTACGAGAGAACTGAGAGTAAACACGTTTATTACATAAATTTCATTTAATTTCTAATTCTAAATCAGTTGGAAGCCTATCTAACAGAACGGCTAAACTGCCTTCTACTGCTTAAAGTGGGCACTTGTCAACACCAGAAATCAAACCAATGATGCAACAAAAGCTCAATCTTGTAGAAACTCGCCCAAAGACAAATTCCTAACATTTACTGGAATGAGGAAGTGTAGTTAAAATTACATTGTTAGTTACGTTTTTGAACACCTGATGTAGCAGTATTCTGCAGGTCAAATGTGAACAGATAAAGCACCCTTTCAAAAGTATTTTCTAGTAAGAGTTAATTGCTTCAAAATTATTTCCATAGATCCAATTTACATTCAAGGGGTAAACTTAACACAAAGTCCTTCAAGTGCCTATAATAAAAACAGCACTTAATTTACTTTATAATAATGTGTACTACCACACTGATTATTAACCCTTTCTAAAGGACAAGAATATCTTTCGGTTAATTTTAGGAAATTTTTTTTATCTATATGCGTAATTTTTTAGCACAACCCAATTGCAATACCCTCTACTCTAATGTATGGTGTTGTTAATACCTGTCCTGTATCGTCTGTCCATAAAATCCAGTTATGCTTCAAATTACGCTACCAGCTAGCAATGTTTACAAAATGAAAAAGAATTAATTTCACAGTGCATCAAAAAAGATTAAAACTCATCCACATCAAGAAAGTTTTATTTTAATTAAATGTAAGATTTAAGTAATTAAGCATATAACTCTAATATTTGTGACGACTGTCTGCACTTAGGGCAGATGTTACGGAGGTGTTGAGAACACTGCCAGCATACCACATGGTGGCAGGCCTCAAAGCACCTCAAGAAACCCTTGTAAATACGGTCTAGGCAGACCGGACACACCAACGGCTCAAAATGTTCGTCTGGCCGACGATGTCGGTTTAGGCAGCCCTCGCCTCTTCTACATACGCCACGAACAAAGTCATTACATAGAGGTCGAACATTTATTGCGCGACGGATCTCAATTGCGATATCTCTGGTTGCCGGATCGTTTCGGGTTGCAATTCTCTGCTCCGCTGCCGAAACATGTACAAAACGGCAGTTAGGGCCCCTCGTGCACACACCCCTTTGAAAGTCTCTGCAAAAGTTAAATGGCACATAGCCAGTCCTGCTTCTATTTACTGCACTCATGCCCAACTTCAAGCACACAGCAGACAATGTGCGAAAGAAGCAGTAACACGACAATGGCAAAATTAATACACAACAAACGCAAAATCAATATAGGAGTATAACCAACGCAAAATTAATGCACAACAAACGCAAAATATTTCAAACAAACGCCAAAATATTAACATATCATTCTAACATAAATTGCGCTTCGTGCGGATAAAAAAATAAGAATATAAAACGATTCACAGATGCTCTAGCACTTTCACTTTGGATTTTTGGAATCTTTTTCATGAAAAATTGCAAGCAAATGGCAGGTCGCAGGTGCGCTTAGGTGCGCGCATGCGCAACGTCGGCCGTCGTCAAAGGTCGCAAACGTAAAGTTGTTGCAGAGTGAAGTTAGGTACAAATTTAAAGTATATACAGGGTACGGTCGAAAATTTACTCAGATGAATACTGCAATTGCACAAATATGCGGTTATAAATTTACTTGTTTGCTTCGTTTAGTTTGAGCACTACTATTGCGATTACGCATGCGTCTTGTCGTGCACAATTTACTGAAATTGCTTCTGGAAAATAAACGGTCTGGAAAAGTAAACGAGTAAACAGCTGATTTTGACATTTAAACATGGCGGCGAACACGAGGTTAAGGAATTAATTTTAATAGACAAGGTGATAAATTTCAATAGTTGTATCGTTAATAATGCATTGCACATGATTTTTTAAGAACACGTCTATAGGTGTCATAAAATCAGTGGAATTATGTTCGCACAAACAAAAAAAATCGCGTTATCACTCGTGATTACAAAGAATTGCTTTCTCACACTAGTTTTTTCGTAAGTTTATCAAGTTATCTAAGTTTTCTCGAGGTTTTTTTTAAAGTTTTTCTAAGTTTACCCAAGATTTAAAAAAAAATTATCCAAAAATTTTCCGAAGATTTCCCGAAAATTTTCCGAGTTTATCCAAGATGTTTTAAATTTCCTTGATGTTTTTCAAAGTTTCCCGAACTGTTTCCATAGTTTACCGAAAATTTTCCGAGTTTTTCGGTAAGTTTAAGTTATCTAAGTTTTTCCGAGGTTTTCCTAAGTTTGTCGAAGATTTAAAAAAAATTTTCCGAAAATTTTCCAAAGATTTTTCGAAAATTTTCGGAGATTTTCCAAAGTTTCTTGATGTTTTTCAAAGTTTTTCAAATTTTTTCGATGTTTCCAGAAGTTTTCCAAATTTCCCCGAAGTTTTTCCGAATTTTCAGAACTGATGTAGAAATTCAACTTATATTTTCATAAAAGACGTAGACATAGCTCCCAAGATATTGAGAAATTCCAAATAATTTCGCTTGGTTCGATAATGTACCTTTAATTTAAAAAAAAAATATGTCGATAGCTTCAAAATTACTATGAAAAAACTTGTCTACAAATTTTACCCAGACGGACGGACAAAGTGCGGATAATATTGCTTCCACTTTTGTGAGAAAGCAATAAGAATGTTGGTGTGGTACAGCACACGACTTTCTTATTAAAAGTACAGTAAAAAATTTGGTGACAATGTTATGTTAGTTTTCAATATAATTGAAAAAACCCTTAAGGGCTTCAAATACTCCTACTCCTACGCGTAACCCGATTTTGCTCAAAATAAAATATATATCTTAGATAATAACAAGAAAAGGCAATATATAAAATTTGGTGAAAATATTTGCGTTAGTTTCTGATATATTTTTAAAAAACCCTTAAGGGCTTCAAATAAAGTACCTTTATGCGTGGTCCGATTTTGCCCAAAAGTTGATACGTCCTTACTTTTTGGCTAAAAAGCTTATGTTTTAAATTTCAAATTAATCGGACTTTTTGTTTTTTCCAAAAATTGCTTAAAATGACTTAAAAACACCTAAAACGTGTAATTCCGTTAAAAAATCGACATCGAAATTTTTTGCCATCACCATACTTTCTTATACAACCTTATAGGCTTTGCCTAAACGTTGTGTAAGAAAGTAACGAGTTGGTTACGCCATCTTTACTCACACACGGTCGCAAACTTATTTTTTCTATTTGGATGTTATAAAGTCTACTTTATGACACTCGTTTGGATGTCATAAAGTTCGATTTTAAAGACCTCAAATTTTTTGCAACAAATTTAAATTACAATTTAATTTAAAAGACGCGATTGATTTCAAAATGTCAATAGGTAAATACTGTCAACAAATAAACTGCAAAAACACTAATTTCTAATGTTTTACACGTATATGTAGCTATGCACATCAGTATATTACTATTAAATTAAATTTTGTTTTATTTGTAAAAACCCAAATAGAAAAAATAGAATAAGAAACACGTTTCATAAGACATTTTATCGCACTCGTTCTTTAGATGAATTTTCTTTTATTTTTTTTATGTAAAAAAAATATATCCAATATAAATATTTTTTTCGCAATCATGACAGAAAGAACAATTTTTCGCTGTATTATAAAAGCGCAAAGTGTCACTTTGTCGCTCGCCAAGCGACAAAGTAACTTTGTCGCTCGCCAAGCGATAGTCATTTTGTCGTTCGCCCATCGATTAGACAGCGTCAATTTATTTACATGTATACAACATCACATAATGTAGTTTCTAAACTTATTTATTCATAATATTAAATGTACAATTATTATTGTTATGAATAATAAACTCTAAATGGGATGGAACTACGAGGTTTCGTAGCAAATTAAAAGTTGAAGTTCTGGTTGAAGTGTTTTTGTTGTTGTGATTGACAAACACTATTACAACTGTCAGGCGCATAC